GCTGATCTTGTTGAGTATTTCGGATGGAAAGATGTGGTTGCTATCTTTGTGGATGACGATAATGGCAGAAATGGGATTTCAGTACTGGAAGCCGCTCTCTCCAGCCACCGTGCCAAGATATCATACAAAGCATCATTTTCTCCTGGGCCCACCAGTGAGGAGATCAATGACTTGTTAGTCGACGTGAACCTTAGGGAATCTAGAGTGTATATAGTTCATGTAAATCCTGATTCTGGGCTGTTGCTTTTTTCTGTAGCAAAGAGTCTTGGTATGATGTCAGGTGGTTATGTTTGGATTGCTACCGATTGGCTTCCTTCTGTTACAGATTCTTTAGAAACAGTTGACCCAGAAACCATGAAGGTCTTACAAGGGGTTGTTGCCCTTCGCCATCGCACACCAGACAGTGGTCAAAAGAAGATTTTTGCTTCCAAGTGGAGAGGCTTCAAGGAGAAAGAAACCTCAAGCTTTAATTCATATGCGCTCTATGCTTATGACACAGTGTGGCTACTCGCGCACGCTCTAGAACTTTTTCTAAGCCAAGGTGGAAATGTTACATTTTCGGATGACCCGAATTTGGGATCTCTCCGTGTTTTTGACCAGGGTCATGAGTTACTTGAGATACTTACCGGCGTAGTCAACTTTACCGGTCTCACTGGACAGGTTAAGTTTGATGGGGAGAAGGACCTCATTGATCCTGCATTTGACATCCTCAACTTTGCTGGAATCGGATCGCGTTTGGTAGGGTATTGGTCAAACCATTCCCTAATAAGCAAACATCTGGACAGTCTTGTATGGCCCGGTGATGTCACCGAGCGTCCCAGAGGATGGGTTTTCCCAAACAATGGGAAGCCATTGCGAATTGCAGTTCCTAACCGTGTTACTTACCCAGTTTTTGCGAGTAGGGATAAAAATGGACCACTTGGGGTCAAAGGGTACTCTGTCGATATATTTGAAGCTGCTGTAAAGCTGTTACCTTACCCCATTCCTCATGTCTATGAATTGTACGGAGACGGCAAAAGAAACCCCTCTTTCAACAACATTGTGACAGATGTCGCACAACAGGTACGCAGATTTCAAACCGGCTGTTGTCAATTCATAGAATGCCAGATTACTTTTTACTTTGGGTACTAATTGTGTTTCACTATTGCATGTTAGAAATACGATGCAGCTGTAGGGGACATTACAATTACCATGAACCGGACGAGGATTGTGGACTTCACTCAGCCTTACATTGAGTCCGGACTGGTGGTGGTTGTGCTTGAGAAAGAACGCAAATCCAATCAATGGGCTTTTCTCCAACCATTTTCAGTCCAGATGTGGTGTGTCACTGGGGCTTTCTTTCTCTTCGTTGGAACCGTGGTTTGGATCCTTGAACACCGGATCAATCCAGAGTTCCGTGGCCCACCAAGTAAACAACTTGTCACTGTCTTCTGGTCAGTTTGGATTCTTGAACACATACATTTGACCCGTTTCTTTTCGTGTCCATAAATAAAACCTTGGGTGGTTTGTTCTCGCAGGTTTACTTTCTCAACAATGTTTTTTTCCCACAGTGAGTTTTTTCGGGTTTTCCCCTTTACCCTTTTTTCATTGTACTTTTGATATGCTTACTAGAAAAATAAGAACAATTGCATAGAGCTGTGTTTCCAAATTTTGTGCAGAGGAGAACACTGTGAGTGCACTAGGACGCTTGGTTCTAATTCTGTGGCTCTTTGTGGTTTTGATCATAAACTCAAGCTACACAGCTAGCTTGACCTCAATCCTCACAGTCCAGCAGCTGTCGTCAATGGGGATTCAAGGGATAGACAGTCTGATCTCCAGCTCTGATCCGATAGGGATCCAAGACGGCTCATTTGCATACAATTATCTCACAGAAGAGATGGGCATTGCAGAGTCCCGTCTTCGGATACTTAAAAAACCGGACGACTATGTGGATGCTCTTGGGAAAGGTCCAAAAGGTGGGGGCGTTTCTGCCATTGTTGACGAGCTTCCATATGTAGAGGTCTTCTTGTCCAGCACGAAATGCAGTTACCGGATTGTTGGACATGAGTTCACAAAGAGTGGATGGGGATTTGTAAGTCTCTCACCCAACTTGGCATCAATATTACTTTGATATCATGTCAATGAACTGACTCAATCAAAAGTTCAAGTTTGTGGTTGTGAACACAGGAAAGGTTTTTGTTTGGCATTCTCTCCCACATATAAAAGAAACAAAAAAGATGCCCAACGTATAAGACTAATGGTTTCTTCATCTATGGGTCATGCTAGAGTGCCACCACATGGGTGCTACCATGGGTGTACCCATGCTTCACACAGACAAACACAGACGATAATTGTCTGTGCGACATAGACAATTATCGTATGTGTTTGTCTGTGCGAAGCATGGGTGCACCCATGGTAGCACCCATGTGGTGGCACCCTAGCATTATTCCTTCATCTATAACCAATTGGTTTTAGGATGGAAACCCTATGTGCCCCCACCCCCACCACCACGCCATGATTGGTCCACTGGAATTTAAACATCTTTATATACATACATCTAACAAAACTAATGAGATAGTTAGTTATGGTGAGCAGGCATTTGAGAGGGACTCCCCGCTAGCGGTTGACATGTCAACAGCGATTCTGCAGCTGTCAGAAAACGGAGAGCTGCAGAGAATCCGCGACAAATGGCTGTCAAACAAGGAAGAAGATGGCTGCCCATCGCAAGGGACTCACCAAGCACCAGATGATGGTGATGGTGGTGATGATGATAGCCGGCTTTCTCTGAAGAGCTTCTGGGGGCTATTCCTGATTTGTGGGATTGCCTGCACGGTCGCAATTGCAGCGTTCTTGTGCAGGGTGTGCTTGCAATACAGGAGGTACACCCCACCTGCCGCCGTGGAAGCCAACCGCGCCGAATCTGCACCGCCCAGTTGCTTTGAACGCCTGGTAGATTTCGTTGACAGAAGGGAAGCCGAAATCAAGCTGATGCTGAACCGGAACAACAAGCCACGGCGCAATCGGATGGGAGACCGGTTTCGTTCCGGTTCGCCCGCATAAGTCTGAACAAGCTGAGGCTCCGTTCCGTTCAACTTATTTTTTCTGATCTGATCTGATTCTAATAAGTTCTGATCTGGTCTGATCTGATTGGATCTGATCTGATCTGATTGGATCTGATCTGATCTAGTCTGATCTGATCTGGTCTGATCTGATTAATTATGATTTAATTTAAAATTTCAAATCAATAATTTAATTTGACTTTATAATANTTTAATAAAATAAAAATAGTTAATTCATATATTAGAATAATCATTCATATTATAATGTAATAATATTTTTTATTTTATGATAATTTTTTTGTAAAATTAGAATTATACATTAGAATAAATATTTAATTTAGATATACATTAAAAAGTAATTAAATTTAGATAATCAATATATAGAAGAGATAGTATTTTTATTAAAATATCTCATCCTTATAAAAGATCAAAAGTTTAGAAACTCAAACTACAAGTAGCAATAAAAATATATTTTAAAAGTAGAATTAGTTTGATATTGTTAATGTATTTTAAAACTAATTTTTCCGACGTCTAATAATTAAGGATTACTTTCTCAGTTTTCTATTTAACCTATTTTTAAAGTTTATTCTTTTTCATATTTAAGAACAATAATAATAATAAAAATAATAATGATGATGATGATGATGATGATCATAATAATAATAATAATAATAATAATAATAATAATAATAATAATAATAATAATAATAATTCTTGATGAGATCTGATTTTAATAAGTCTTGATCTGATCTGATCTGATTGGATCTGATCTGATCTGAAAGGATCTGATCTGATCTGAAAGGATCTGATCTGATTGGATCTGATCTGATCTGATTCGATTTGATCTGATCTGATCTGATTCGATCTGATCTGATCTGGTCTGATTTTAATAAGAATAAGAAAAAATAAGTTGAACGAAACGGGGCCTAAGATTGGGTTTGTGTCAAAATGTAAATAGGGTTTGTCATTGGGTTTGTGTGATTATGCATGAGCTGCCATGCCACTTCTTCATTCAGTAATAAACAAAATGGTCATATAATTATTAGACTTATATAGAGAGGAAGAACTTTGCAAGTTGCAACTCATGTTTATATTTTTTTCTTGAACCTCATCACATCATTTTTTCAAAAGAACACAAATTGATGAAGGTTTTGGAAGTCTTAAAAAATCTACCTAGTCTGTCCTAAATTAATTGTCTTCTTTTGAACGACATATAAAATTCTATCTTTTTTAAAAATTATCATATTTACAAATTAAGATTGATAAAATAAGTGATGACATGTATATTTTATTTTATCAAACGATCAATGAAAACGTGTACACAAACAAAAATTATCGACATCCTCAAAGGGTAACTAGGCCAAACAAATCGAAACAGGGAGATTATAAGAAAAAAGCGTACGGTATAGTAACAGATGTTATAACCCACATATAGAAATAACATGTCAATCACCCAAATTTATTCTTTTAAAAATGGCTTGATGAAATATGAAACATTTATTGGGGACAAACAAATATACAGTACTCATTAAATAAATATCTTACCTAAGTAATAATATAAAATGTTGGTAAAATTTTCAATGTCTGGTTTACCAGAACCACTAGTGAGCCAAACAAGGCCCATGTCTTTACCAATAAAAGTTTGACTTACCATTGGAGAGTTGCGGTCAACCGCGTTCAGTGCCCCCACGGCGTCCATAACTTGTCGTTTTGGCCCGGCCGCCCATTTGAATATTTGGGCGCCTATCTTTTGCAAATTATTAATTAACCAAACAAAAAACATAAAAATTAAAAAATAATTGCTTTCGTCCCCAACAACAGATCGCAGAGGTTTGGTGGAAGGCCATATTTCTACTAATTAGTTTAATTATTTTTAATTTAATTATTTTTGTGCCTTTTTTCCAAATCTGCAACCGGTAATTGCGTGCCATGATATATATGTAATGAAAAGGAAAGAAAAGGAAAGGGAAGGAAGAAAAGCGAAAATGGGTCATTTGAGTGTGAGGAGAAAGATCCTGCTGCGGACCGCCATCCTACAGGCGCATCTCACGCGCCTCTGGCAACAAATCCTCGCCCGCCGCGTCCACAAGGCGGTCAAGTACCGGCAGCTGCCTCGCTGCTCCTCCGCCGCCTCCTCCGCCGTCCCCTCCCCTTCTCCGCTCCCGCCCGATGCCGACGTTGATTACGGCTTCGCCGTCGGCACATCGCAGCCGCCCTGCTTCGATCTCGACAAGGACGCGTCCGATTTGGTCTCCTTGAAAATCAGCCTCCTCGGCGATCATCAAATCGGCAAAACCAGCTTTCTGGTTAGCATCTTGCATCGTCTCTCGATTTTGTTTATTTCATTTTTGAGTCGTTATTGTATTCGGCTAATCTGATTGATTGATTTTGGAATGAAAGACGAAATACGTGGGCAAGGAGAGAGCGAAGCTGTGGTCTTCAGGGACGGGGCTGAATCAGGTGGACAAGACGATCAATGTGAAAGGGGCTCAGATATCCTTCAACATTTGGGAAGTGGAAGGTATATTATATTACCTTTTGGAATTAATTTCTATAAAAAACATGTTACCTTGAAATAATGTTCAAATTCTTGTGTGTGCTGAAATTAATGTCACCCGAATCGAAATTGCATAACAATGCAGGCACAGATTTTTCCTCTCAGTACCATATCCATGCTGCGTGTAATGACTCTGTGGCCATGTTCTTCATGTTTGATCTCACCAGTAGGTGCTCCCTCAATAGGTACGAACTCCGACTCCGTGTTGTGCATAGTCATCGTTGTTGGTGTAAAAGTTGGATTGAAAGAAGAAAAAAAAACAGTTTTGCTTTGTTATTTGGATATGACCTAATGAATTTGCAAATGAATTATTGTTCTTTCATGTGCTCAGTGTCCTGGGGTGGTACCAACAAGCCAGGAAATGGAATCAGGTATTTTTAGGCTGCTGAAATTGGTCCAGGTTTTCTATGAATGAGTGTATGTATAAACCTAGGGTAGTAATTCATTTCAGGCTGCAATTCCCGTTATGATCGGGACCAAGTTTGACGATTTCGTGGAACTGCCTTTGGATTTGCAATGGACAATTGCCAGTGAGGTACGTAAAGTCTTATATCTGTCCAACGTGAAATGGTTTGCGAAGCGATGAATAGGAAAATTTTAAAAGATGAAAGGATTAATAAACAGGCAAGAGCATATGCAAAGGCACTGAATGCAACACTGTTCTTCTCAAGTGCAACTTACAACATCAATGTGAATAAGATCTTCAAGTTCATCACAGCAAAGCTCTTCAACTTGCCATGGAAGGTGGAGAGAAACCTGACAATTGGTGAACCCATGATTGATTTCTAGTTTCATTGTGTGTGCCTGTGTGTGTATATATAATTTACAAGTCAACCGGTTGCTGTATCCAGCGACTCGGGTTGTTTTCGTTTTCAATAGATGCATTCATCTTTCTTTTGGTAGTCGGCATTGTTTGTAAACAGCCATAAGTTTCTTGTTCATCTATGTAGATTCTCCTGACCAAAGTTTTAAGGCGATATATGGACTGCACCACACATTTAGTTGAAGCACATTTTAAGTTCATATACTACTATGAATTATTTATGGCAAACGTTGTTCATACACTAAAATCCTATATGGATCATTTTAAGTTCATATACTACAATCCTACAAACACACAAAAATAAATGGAAAGAAACATGAGAATGTGGATTGCTTGGTGGGCGCTCATGTTTTCCAGTGTCATATATGAACCAGTGTATTCCGGCTTGAATTAATATTTTTATCGTGGATTTTCAAAAAAAAATATAAATGAGTGTCCTATTTTAGAATTGAATTTCTCAAAAAAAATTGTGACCATTTTATCAGCAACACTAATTGAAATTACTTTCTGCGGTCCTAAAAATCTTTCCTGTTTTGGATTTTTTTGTCAAACAATGACACTCTTTGACTATAAATTAAACGTAATATAAATAAATGATATATAAGTTTGATATTTCAAAACTATATATCCTAAGATGAATCTAATTATATTAAATTTATATTATAATTAAATATGCATTTCTCACAATTTATGATCAAATAGTATCATTGTTTGACCAAAAAAATTAAAATAAGAAAAGTTTTTAAGGCCAGACAACACTTTTTGCTAAGTAAGGCTACTCAGAGTAATTTCAATATGTACAAATGGCAAAAGAGACTACTCTTCTAGCTTTTTACACCCTGTCGCGATCAATTTGTACTCCTTCCGTTCTTTGAAACATTTTGACTTTTACTTCTTACCTGTTTCATAAAATATTTTAATTTCACCTAAATGAACACAATTACCCTTACTTTTCTCAAATCTAACCGAACCTATCTAAACTACCTTCTAAGCTCTACCCATTTTGACATTTCCTGAGCCCAACTTGTTTCAATTGTCGTCGTTTCGCCTTAGTCAAACTTCTATATCTTCCCCTCCCAAAAGTCAAAACCATAAAAGTTTTCCAGGACGGAGGAAGTATTTTCTTTAATAATCTCTCAAAATTAAGGAACGAATACAAAACACAGAATATAAAAAATCATACAGAGTATGAATTAGCTCGTTCTTTATCAATGTCAAGAATGTTACTCGAGGTAATACACATTTCAATAAATCCCAATGACTTGTCTATTAGATACCATGACAACTAATGAGGAATGAGAGAATGCAAAAAAAAAATAACAAATTGATTTGTGAGATTTGAAGTTGTGAGATTTGAAGTGACTTTTATATTTTTCATTATCTAAACTATGAATAAAAAATTCATTCTTCAGTCTTTTCTGATAATAAACTTATGAACCTTAGAGAAAAAAACTAAAATCTAGAATCCAAATAATGGATAGATAGCATCACAACAATCCATAATGGGAGCTTCATCATTTGGCCTTGGAGAATATGGCTCCGTTCCGTTCAACTTATTTTTTCTGATCTGATTTAATTTTTTGTAGTTCTGATCTGATCTGGTTTGATCTGATCTGATTGGATTTAATATGGTCTGATCTTATCTAATTAATTATGATTTGATTTAAAATTCAAATCAATAATTTGATTTGACTTTATAATAACGTTTGAAAATTGTATTGATATTTCATATTATAATATAATCAATATTTTTTATTTTATGATTATTTATTAATGAAATAAAATTAGTTAATTCATATATTAAAATAATCATTCATATTATATTGTAATAATAATTTTTACTTTATGATTACTTTTTTGTGAAATAAGAATATTGATTTAATATTTTAATAATTAGTTCATATATACATTAGAATAAATATTTAATTTATATATACATTAAAAAGTAAATAAATTTAGATAATCAATATAGAGAAGAGATAATAATTTTATTAAAATATCTCATCCTTATAAAAGATCAAAACTTTAGAAACTCAAATTACATGTAACAATAAAAATATATTTTAAAGGTATAATTAGATTGACATTGTCAATGTATTTAAAAAATAATTTTTCCAACGTCTAATAAATAAAGATTACTTTTTCAGTATTTTATTCAACTTGTTTCTAAAGTTTATTCTTTTTCATTTTTAAAAATAATAATAGTACTAATAATAATATTTATAACAACAACAAGAACAACAACAACAACAACAACAATTACAATAATAATAATAATAATAATAATAATAATAATTCTTGATGAGATCTGATTTGATTTGGTCTGATCTGGTTGGATCTGATCTGATTGGATCTGATGTGATCTGATTCGATCTGATCTGATCTCATCTGATTTTAATAAGAATAAGAAAAAATAAGTTGAATGGAACGAGGCCTATATTTTGGATTATGCCTAAGCCAGCCCCAATAGGCCAAGAACTATGCTCCAACTAGGGGTGTGCAAGAACTGGTCCAAACCTTTTTTTTGGACTTGAATCGGACCGGTCTGGTCTCCAGATTTAGCAAATTAAGGATTTCGTGTTTCAAGTTCATTCCGGTTTAAACTCTGAATGGTCTGAACGGAAAAATGTTATAAGCCCAAATACTCTTTAGTCCATTAGTGAAGCTCATTTCTTTTAGTAACTCTAAATCCATAATCAGTGAACTCATTCGTTTCCATCCCCTAGCCCAAAAATGTCACGATTTTCTTCTCAAAAAAGATTTAGATGTAAGCCTTTCTTCTTCGTTTCGTTAAATTTTTACATTCTTTAAAATCAAGGATTTTAAAATTCCAAAAAAGAGTTTTTTATTTCACTTTTTAAGTGTTGATTTTGATTTTCCTAGTTGTATTTCTTCATTTGAAGTTTGAATGAACAATTTAAATATCATGTTTTTAATTGAATTATGACGACTTTCTCTATTCTACTGCATAATTTTACGATGGAGTGCATACTTTGATGCTGGTTTTAGTTTTTTTTAGGAAGATTCTGGTTTTAGAATTGCTTTGTGAGATTTTTTAAAAAAGAAATTTGGTCTAAAGTAGAGTAAACTCGGACGAGATCGAAAAAATAAGTCCGATCCGGATTAGTCTGGACCGATTACAAATAGGTCCGGTCTTCGGTCCAAGCAAAAACATGATTCCGGTCTGGCCAGTCCAATTTTAGACCGGTGCACACGAGTAGCTCCAACAAAAGAGAGAGTAAGTGAGAAATGCACTTGAAATTAAAATGTCCTTTGCAAGAGTCGCTCAAAGTCGGTTCATATAATAGAGTCGAAAGAGGTGATTTTAATGATCGAAGCTCCCAAATCCAGACATGTAGCCTGCGGCGTAGAGCTTTCCCACACTGTAATATTGACAAGACTTACACCTGTGGACAAACCAATATATTGAGCACTCTACATTTGCACTCAAACACGCAGCCATGCAATAAACACATAGCGAACTATTCTTTCGCCTTTTACTAAAGAATACCGTGTTTGTTGCAATTTGTGGCATACCTTAATTTTTTTGAGGGTTTTTCTAGTTTGAAGAACCCAACAAATTAGTCTGAATTTTTAATCTTTTATGCATTCGCCAATGAGATGTCTTTAATGGGGTTTTCTCTTGGATGATGCTAAAAATTCACCACCTCTGCATTGTTTAACAGATGATTAATGTATGTCATGTGTGGAGGTACACCACCATTCTTTTTGACAAGGGGTGTTTGCCGGGGGTTTAGGGAGATAGGAATAATCAATATTACGATCGGAGCATCGTGGGTACTCCGATTGGAGTTATTGTCATATTATGACACCCCATCTTGTTGTCAAAAGAAGAGGGCCTGTGGAAGTATTGTAGCATGGTCTTTTTTTCGTTGCTTTTTGAATATCCCAAAAAGACTTGCACGTATATATTATCTTATAAATATGAGTTATGACTATAAATTTGAGGGCAATATATAAAATATATCCCGAACTCCGGGAGTAAAACATGACATATCACAGAGTTCAAAAGTGTAAATATAAAGTACTGAGTATTATTTTTTGGAAACTGAATAACTTAAAATTGAAATTTTAAAAATATTTTTAAATTTTGGAAATTACTTCTATCTACTTGTTGGATTAGAATCTTGAGATCTTGTAAGATAAGATTTTATAAAGGTGTATTTAGACAATCAAAAGTGTAAAATTAAAATATTACATTGGTTTATGCATCTACAAATTATTATTTTTATTGATGTTTCTAACAAATCTAACTTTGAAACACCTAGATTTAATAGATCCAGCGATTTTGTCATCCTAAGGGTTAGCAAATATATGTCACAATTTCTAAGTTATTCTGATGTGTGGAGTACTTGATGTGGTATGTGGAGAAACGTTGTGGTTCATGAATGCCTTGGCAAAATGTTATGGACATGTCGTTTGATACACATTCCTTTTTAATACATAATTTTTAAATATCATAAGTGCACAATTAATTTTGAACGCCACAAATAGTCACAAAGGAGGGTATTTCAAAAAAAAAAAAACAAATGCTTGAGAATCAAGATGACAATCACAAGTGGATATAATAGCGTAACCACAATCCATAATGGAAGCTTCATCAATTAGACTTGGAGAATATGTTTTGAATTAAGCCAGCCGAAACTACTATGCACCAACAAGTTATGAATAAACGCACTTGAAATCCAAATGTTCATTTTATCAAACATGTAGCATGCGGCTTAAGAGTTAGCAGATTAGTCCCACACCGAAACCTTGACAAGACTCACACAGGTAGGCACACCTAAAAAATAAGCGGTCAACACTTGGAACAAAGCATGCAGCCACGCAATAAACACATAGCGAACTATTCTTTCGCCTTTTACTAAAGAATACCGTGTGTTTGTTGCAATTTGTGGCATACCTTAATTTTTTGAGGGTTATTCATTTGAAGAACCCAACAAATTTAAAATTTTAAAATTTAAATTTTAAATTTAAAACTTAAATTTTAAAATTTAAGATTTTAGAATTAAATTTAAGAAATTAGAAATCAAAAAATAGAAATTGAAGATCAAATATTTAAACCCAATAAATAAATATTAATTAAAAAAATATAA